ACAAAGATACAATTTTTTTCTAAATGTTTCATATTATTGATTTTTCAAAGACTATATCAAAATACTAACAAAGTCAGAGAACAGTAATTTGTGAGATCAAAGTGCAAACTGAAGTGGGACAATAGAGGACTGTGCACTAACCCCTTTTATTTTCATTTGCATTCTGATGTAATGGCATAGGTTGAAATAAATTGGAAGCATGCCCAACAGTCAAAATAAAAAGCCAATGTTTCTCTCTATTTGTCTAGCATATCATCACAAGCAAGAAAAACAACTTCTACCAAAAGAACAGCCTGGTACTGCCGACTCTAAAACTGAAAAATAACATATTTTACAAACTTAATTTTTTTTTAAATGGACACTGATAAATTATCCCACTCAAAAACTCAATCAATTGAGTTAGTTAGGGTGACAATCTGCAGCTAACTCATTCTAGAAGACCTGTCAAGATGTAGTGTACAATAATAACAATAATAATAATAACCAGCTAACATTTATTGAGCTCTTAGAATGTACCAAGCACTGCTCTAAGTTCTTCATTATACATTAACTCATATAATTTGTACATTTATCCTGTGAGGAAAGCCTTGTTGTTATTATTCCATTATATGAATAAGGTTATGGAGCCAAAGAAGTCAAGTAACTCTTAACATGTTTCAGGACAAATATTTATTTTTTCCTTGAAAATTAAAATGGATTTTAATGGAATAATTTGTCAAGTAGAAAAATAGGCTCAACATTCTTATCATAGAAAAATAAGTTAGCCTTTGTATACAAATATGTTTTATAAGTTCCTTGTATCCTAAAGAAGAATGATATTCCTTTGAGAAAAAAAAAATCCAAGTTAAGTACCTACATGTTTAAAATGAAATGTCTGTTCTGAATCTATGTATTTCTCACCAAAGCATATGAACCTATCTTTATTTAACAGAGCATAATTCATAAAACAATTCTAATTTTTATTTTTCACTGTTAGTCTTATTTTAATCACATTGTTTAATGTCTTCAAAACAAAAACTAATTTTGAAATAGGTAAGCAATGTTTGGGTATGCAAATACTAGTAGCCTTGCACACTAATTCATGCATGAGTAGCTTGAGCCTCTTGCCTCAGCTGGCTGCTCAGTCCACTGCCACTCATAGCTCTCTGCCACACATAGCTCACTGCCCTGCCCTCTTGTAGCTCTCCACCTGTTGCCCCGTCCTCCTGCTGTTGGTCGATTCATTATGGTGTAACAACCATTTGCATATTACCTTTTTATTATATAAGATATCAATGAGTAAAAATTTTTATTTTTGAACCATATTTGAACACAGCATTTTATTAAATATTTAAACAAACTACCAACTTATTTTATATTGCAAAAGAGTATTACAGAATAGTCTTGCATTTTGTATTCGCTTTATATAATATATGGCACACAAAGGATATTTTCAATTTTTATTATATTATTATGTTTCTTTAAAAGTTTATTGAATTTATTGGGGTAATATTGGTTAATAAAATTACATAGATTTCAGGTGTACAGTTCTTCAATACATCTTTTTTAATTATTAAATTCAAAATATATTTCTAGTGGACATCCCAAATATAAAAATTATCTATGTTCCTTAGAAGTGGTCTTAAGCCACAGAGCTGCCGTCTGCACAGCCATTTCTACATTTCCCAGCTAATCCGCATCTGACTGTACACTAAAATCAATATTATACTGTATACAAGCAACTGTACACTTATAACAGAACAGCTACTTTTTAAAAAATGTTGTACTTTTTCTCATAAACCTATGTGAATCCAAAAAGGAACTTGTAGAGTGAAGTCAATAAAGTTTTGCATCTTTTGAGAAACAGTTTTGGATATGAAATAAGGAGTATTATCTATAAATCTGGATAGGAAATTCCTTAAAAATATTACCTGTAAAGATTTCCATTTAATGACTATACTTTTGCCTTCTTTTAAATATTTATTTGCATGTTTTCCCCATAAACTTAGAGGTTTGGGAAAAATTACAGAAGGGCTAGCATCAAGACAACTTAAAGCTTACAGTTCAAAATGCTGTTGTACCACAGCTCACCTTGTTTTCAATGCGTCTCCTCACAGCAGTCTGCAAAGCCAATTAGGTATTAGCCCCAGCATTCTCCAAAGGAGAGGCCATAAACACCTTTATCTGACCATAGATAGGCAGCTGGGCTTGGAAGGAATGAACAAAACTGCAGGAGACACATTTTAGGAAGGCTCTGATGGAAGGACAAGCATTAAGCCTTCTTGTATGACTGAAGGCAGAGACTCAAACCTCACAGAATGAGAGGGGCTGTTTTGTTGATGAGCTGCCAGATATACTAGTAGAAGGAACCTAGGGTATAATACAATAAAGACTTGTGCACGGCGAAACCCGTTTGGCTCAGTGGATAGAGTGTAAGCCTGTGGACTGAAGGGTCCCAGGTTCAATTCCAGTCAAGGGTACATTGGTTGCAGACACATCCCCGGTAGGGGGTGTGCAGGAGGCAGCTGGTCGATGTTTCTCTCTCATGGATGTTTCTAGCTCTCTATCCCTCTTCCTTCCTCTCTATAAAAATATCAATAAAATATATTTTTTTAAAAAGATCTGTGCAAACTTGGCCTTGGTCACTGCATATGCGCCCAGGGCAGCAATAAAATCTGCCCTGTGGCAAGATTTGCTCTGAGAAACAAGGAGCACTCAGCACATAGTAGGCATTCAGTATTACTGCCTCTGATTTTTACTTCCTGGTCAGAGGTGAGTCAGAGGCTGCAACATTTATGCACATTAGAACTGTCCAGGTGTGTTCTCCAAGCCTGAGGCGATTACTCCAAGGATTTGGCCAAGTTCCAACTCAGGTAATTATGAGCAACTCAATTGGCCCTGTTGTTTCAATCAGGTACAGCATTGTTCGTTTTTCTATTCTTTAAGGAAAAAGAGGAAGGCAATTCTTCTTACATTCACTGATTTCCCTGACAGATGAAAAGGCAAATGCAATGTGCTACAAGAGTAACGTCTGCCTTAGTAATGAACGGGATGATTGCTATGCTTAAACTTCAGTGTTGTGACCAGATAAAGATCTCAGAGAGAGCAAAACCCCTCTGGATGGACCAGGAAGATTCTGTCATGATGTTCATATCATATGACAACCACACAGGGCTTCTCTGTAACTAGTACAGGGAGTGAGCTCGTGATCTATTCAATCCATGCACTAAAGCAGTGTTTATATTTCTAATACCACTGTAGATATAACCTTTCTTTTGTGAAATTGGGTAGGACCATCAGCAGAGTTCCAGGAATGTATGAATAGCCAATTTCTCTTTAATGCCGGGAACCATAAGAATAAAGCAGGCTTCTATCCCTCAGCTGGCCAAAGATTTAAAGTCTGACAATATCAATTTGGGGCAAGGATATTAGGAAAATAAAACTTCCATGCATTGCTAGTGGGAATATAAACTGGCTCAGGCACTTTTCATAGCAATTTGACAGCATGTAGTAAAAACTAAAACTGTTTCTACCCTACAACTCAGCAATTCTGCTTCCAAGAACATACCCTGCTCTCTCACAGGGCACCCAGAGACACACACATGGATGTTCACTGCCACAATATTTGTCATGGAGAAAAACTGGGGGGAAACTAAATGTTGGTAGAAGAATAAAAAAATAAAATGTAAAATATTCACATGATAGAATATCATAGATTGACTTAAAAATGTAATGTCAAGGAAGGTAGGGGTGGGGGAGGAGGGATAATACAGACTAATTTGTGCAGTTGAATACCATTCATTAGAATTTAAATAGGCAAACAGTACTTCCTTATTTTTTATGAATACATCATGATTATGAGAAACACAGCATGTGTACATGCAAGCACACACACGCACGCACGCACACACACAGACAGACATTTTCAGATTTCTAGGTACCCAGCTCTTAAATCTCTTTCCTAAAACTGAGAAATGCCCCCTGTATGTTGCCAGCTGAGGCCTGGATTCCCTGATAGAAGCTGTAGAAGCCACAGCTTCCTTTTCTAGGTCACCCTATGGTTGTGGGAGAATGAGAACATGATTGAGCTGGTCTACCGTGACAATCGCACTCTGTTTTCTCTGCCAAAGGCTGAGGGTGCAAAGGCACCGAGACAGGGATGAATGTTCGCATGTGGCAAAGGTTGCCCTCCAAAAGTCAGGAGGCACAGGAGGGGGCAGCAGCCCCCTATCTTCATGGGCATAGCAGTCACAGTGGTCCCTTCCTCTCCTGCGTATTATGTTAGCCTAGTGTTCCCAGGGATTCTGCTTGCCACCTGGGTCCCTTTCAATGCAAAGCTTTCCTGCTAAAATCAGCTGCATCTGTTTCACCTGCTAGTGGACCAGAAGCCTTCCAGATGGAGAGGGCCAGCAGCAAGCTCCCTGCTGGGGGACCCTGGAGAGGGGAGGGAGAAACAGGACTGGCGACCTGCAATATTTTATTGATTAAGGACAGGGTTCAGGTGCCAACATGATAATCAAGAGCTGTTCGTTCATACTGGGTGATAGAAACAAAAGTGTGTTATTTTCACTGGATTTTTAAAAAGAGCTAATTTATGAAAGATGAAAGAGAGGCCATTTCTAGGGCCCCCAGGTGGTTTAGGTAGATTTTGTATATTCACCAGATCCCAGGCCTGTTTGGGACTATATTGTTTGGAATTATGCCAAAAACATACTAGATTTAGGGACAAAATGCACAGATTTTCAATGTTTAACTTGTAGTACTCTTCAAAATGGAAATCTAAACATCATTGTAAAGACATCCCTGATTTTTATTTTAAAGACACTTTGATATATTCGATGCCATTATTCACAGAATACATGTTTTTGGGCTTCTGGGCTGGCAAAGCAGCCGCTAGAGACTTGTCAGGGAAGTTTCTCAGCAGAACTACTGCTCCCCAGGTTTCAGTGCCTTCTCTTCATCTGTAATGTAAACATGCCCCTCACAATGTACCTGGATGTTTAAAAGTTGAGACAACTTACTACATGGATGTCCTAACACCTTCACTTCATCAATAGCGAGGTAGCCTTGATGTCCAGAAGTTAATACTTCAAAAACCACCTGGAAATTAAAAAAAAATACATTATTTACTCAACTTGTCAGACTTTTACCAAATGTCTCTTATAAAGAGGTAGTTTCTCTCAATCATAGATTCATTCATTCATTCATTCATTCATTCATGTTTCTGACAAACATTAACGGAGCACCTAACATCTTCAGCCGATGTTCAGGTTCTAAGAATAGAAAGATAAACAAGACCCAGTTCTCAGGGAGGTTAATGGGAATGGGCGGTCAGACAGCACCCTACCTCAAGGACTCACTTGGCAAGGAGGGAATGCCATGCTAAGAGCCAGTATGTGGGAGACAAAGGCTTCAAGTCCCTACAGGAAGCAAGGTTTAGATTCAAACTGCTTTAAGATATCGCACTTTCTGGTTAACTCCTTCGAGTGAGCTCTATGACCAGACTGAACTATGTGGAGCCCTAGGTTTTAAACAAGTAAACTTTTAAAGTTACGAAAGAAAGTACGGATGCTGGAAGAGCCCCTCATGGGGAGGTAGCGTGTGAGCTGACAGCTGAATGTGAACCGTGTGTACAGGTTCAGACTCACAGTGTGAACAGGGCCAGACTCACAGTGTGAACAGGGCCAGATTCACAGCGTGAACAAGCACGTGCAAAAACTGAGGCCAATATGGCCATGGCCACCAAGAGGAGAACGGGGACCTACAGCCTTGAGGTTCTGCTGTGACCAAATTACAGAGGCTCTGCTCACAGTGAAGAGTGTGCAGAAAAGACAACGTATTGAGAACACAGAGAGAAGGCTGTGGGGCTGAAATTCAGATGGCGGAGAAGAATGTATAAAGGTGGCTGCAGCGGTGAAATCCAGTGGGTGTGAGCCACTGCCTGATCAAGAAAGAAGCAGGCAAGAGAAGAAGGGCAACATGCTCTGAGCATCTCAGGATGCATGGCACTTTTCATATGGTGGAGCCACTTCAGAGAAATAGAGGCTGAGTGAGAAAAAATGACCAGTAAGAAGGTTATCAAATATCTCACCACAATTGTCTAAGATATCTATTGTCAGGCTATTATAAAAAGGTCCACGTGACATTGTTTTAACCTCATTTACAGATGGCAGGAACCTGTATCACTGGGAACACCATGGCGCCCGACCAGGGATCAAACCCGCGACTTCCAGTGCACGGACTACCCTCCAACCTATGGCACTACCAGCCGGGGCTGAAGATGATGTCTTAAAACACTTCTTGGAGAAATGACATTTTTCACTTATATCAAACCTGCACACAGATGTTTACAGAAGTTTTATTCATAACAGCCCCAAACTGGAAACAGCCTAGATGTCATTCAAATGATAAATGTTCAAACAGACTGGTACATGTATAGATGGATTACTACTCAGCAATAAAAGGAAGTAATTATTGATATACCCAACAACTTGGGATGAATCTCTAGAGAGTTATGCTAAGTGAAAAAAAAAATCACAAAAGATTACAAATTATATGATCCCATTTATGTAACATCGTGTAATGTCTAAATTTTAGAAACAAAGGACAGGTCAGTGATTGCCAGGGTTAAGAATGAAGAGAGAAGGCACAGGAGGGAGATGGTATGGTTACAAAGAACAAAATGGACAATCTTCATGATGTTAGAACTGTTAAGATCTTCATTAGGTTGGTGGAAATACACATCTATTCAGTAATAGAATTGTGTGTTTTTTATAGCAGCATGATTCACAATAGATAAAACATGGGATCAATCCAAGTGTCCATTGAAGAATGAATGGATAAGAAAAACATGGTGCATATTTACAATGGCATATTAGTCTTAAAAAGGAAGGAAATTCTGATATGCTATAACATGGCTGAAGCTTGAGGGCATTATGCTAAGTGAAATAACTCATGGAATGGCAATTACTATATGATCCCATGTAAATGAGACACCAAGAGTAGTCCAATTCATAGAGTCCAAAAGTAGAATGGTGGTTGCCAGGAACTAAGGAGAAGAAGAAATAGTTTTCCTCTTCTCCTTAGTTTTATGTGGTGTAGAGTTTCAGTCTTAAAAACTACAAAGCATTTTGGAAATGGATGGTGGTGAAGGTTGCACAGCATTATGCAGGCATGTATTTAATACAACTTAAAATTATTAAGATGATAAAATTTACATTATTTGCATTTTACCACGTGAAAACAATTGTATATAACTAAATACACACTCATATACATGCATACGTAAGGGTAAAATGAGAAACTTGAAAAAGCTCTGTAGATTTTAACAATGTCAATATTCTGGTTGTGATAATATATACATTGTTAGCAAAATGTTAGCATCAGAGGAAACAGGGTAAAGTGTACACAGGAACCTGCATTATTTCTTACTATTGCATCTGATTCCACAACTATCTCAATAAAAATTAAAAACTATATAGATAAGTTACCATTTACATAATATATTACATACACTGGACACATATCATGCCATTATTTTATGTATTAGTTCATCAAAAATCCTTCAAGGAATAAATATATCAAGAATGTGCCATGAAGTGTATTGTAGATACAATTTTAAAACCCAATTTTTCTGATTCCAAATATCAAGATAGTTTTGCTAGTACATATTGCCTGAACAAACGCTTCAATCCCAGCACTATTTGTTTGTGCAATAGATACAGAAATGGAGAAAGCAATCAGCAAAGCCCCAAATGGAAAAGCTCAGGTGGCCTCCTAGATAAGAAGTCATCCCAGATACACCTGCTAGACTAGGTGACACTGCCACAGTGCCGCCTCACTGAAATACAAACCACACAGAGAAGAGAAGAGGCCCATTGGTTGAACAGAAATGAAATAAAACTTTGTCCTGCTCATAAATTTAATTATTTTTTCACTGACAATATGCAGGAAGAAAGAGATGCAGGGATATTCCTGCAAATTAATCTGTCTACTTTTAGTCTATAAAAAGACACATAGTTGATGAACATTGAAAGCAAGTAGAGGACAAAGACTTCCCAAGGCTCTCAAGACAGAGCCCCTTGGAAACAGTCAATAGCCAGGGGCAGCAACAGGAGGCAGAGCAGGGACCAGCTAGCTGTTCTGGTCAGAATGGCCACTTCACTGACTGATGTCTATGACCACCAGCTATCTGAGAATAGCACATCTCTGATCATGAAATAGTATTTTGAAAGTCGAACCCAAAAACCTTTACCCATTATTCCTTCCTCTCATCTGTCCTCCCTTCATTCTTTCTTCCCTCTCGCTCATTCATTCATTCACTACCCCAAGTGTCATCTCCATTCCAGGCACTCAGATAAGAACTCAGAACAAATATAAAGAGAACAAATGAAAACCCCTTTCCTTATCAAAAATTTCCATATAGAAAGTTATATTTTTGCTTTATCAACTACAAGGGCTGAAGTGTCTCATAAACGCAGAATAATTTTTATAGTGTCCAGATAAAACATGATCATGTGGATTTATTTTTGAAGTTGACATGTGTGCATATAATGCACAATATTTTATTTAAATCAGAATGGGGCCATCACCTTACCAAAAAAAGAGAGAAAGGAAGAAATTACAGACCTAGAAAAGGCACTTGAAAACCGCTGAATCTCTTTTTCATCCGCCACTAAAATCTCAAAGATTAAGTCTTATTATCCAAATATTCCCAAATATTTACAGAATATTTAATATGCTCTGGGGGAATCCATAAAAATGAAATAATTTTATGCAATTTAAGCTTTAGTTGGTGAAAAGAGAATGGAAGATCAGAAGATAACGGTAGCCATATTATAGATGGGAGCAATAAGGAGCTCCCGTGGCTGTGACCATTCTCCACCACAGGACTGCATCCTCCTTACCACGCCAACCAGCCCAACTTCCCAGCCTGTCAGTATAAACTCGCAGATGCCCCAGCAAGGCCTTACCAAGTGTCCCTCCTAGACTAAAAAGAGAGACCTTGCTACAAGCTCGCTTTCCCAGCCAGAGGGCTCCCAACGAGGCCTCCTTGAACGAATTAAACACATGCTTATTCCTGAAACTGTTTCTGCTCCCCTTAGTCCTCCAACTGAAACACCAACAAGCAAAGAAAGATAGCTTCTGATTATTAATACACTAAGAGAATAATGGACTGCCCTTTTAGTTCATTAAAAACTTTGTAAAGTAAATTTCAGGAACTTGACAGTTTTGAGCACTAACGTTCAGCTAATTGTAGTGACAAAAATAGGAAAACAATTTTTATAGACATGTTTATGTGTGTGTCTAAATATACTTATATGTGATGTGTAAAATGAAATTTTATATGACACACTTAGGTGTTTTACATAAGAAGGTTATAAATTTGAAGCAATGGCCAACGTTTCTTTCAAAGCAAATTTTTCAAACAACCACTTTCCAACTCTTTCATCATAATGACATTTAAGGGCTTATTAGTACAAGTTTTTTTTAGCTGTTTAATCAAGTTTATCATTTAGTATATAAATGTTTCAACACAGCCCTAGTTAGCATGGCTCAATTGGGTGGGCATCATCCCCTGCACCTGAGGGATGCTGGTTCAATTCCTGGTCAGGGCACATGTCCAGGTTGCACCCTCAATCCCCAGTAAGGGCATGTTTAGTTCTCAAGATGATGTTTCTCTCCCTCTCCCTTCCTCCCATTCATATTCTCTCTCTCTCTCTCTCTCTCTCTCTCTCTCTCTCTCTCTCTCTCTCTCTCTCTCTCTCTCTCTCTTTCCCCCTCTCTCTCTCTTTCCCTCTCTCTCTCTCTTTCCCTCTCTCTCTCTCTCAAAAAAAAGATAAATAAAAAATTCAATAAAAAATTTCTTCAAAAAAACATAATGTTTCAATACGTACCACAGAAAATCAAGTATCATTTGTACTGAAAAGGTTGCTATTTTGAAACAACTATGAGTAAATGAAGAGATCTGAATTTAGGTGCTGTAGAACACTTTTGAATTGACTTCTAACTTGATTTTAACACCTGGCCCTTAGAATATTAACTTAATGAAGAAGAGGGTGAAAATGCAGCTCAAAAGATGAGGCCTATCTGAAATAGGT